GGCACCTGCCTTGCACACCGCCAAGCTGGGCTTCATCCCTTGTTACCCCATATACATCTTTTACACCCCACCAGGAGTTCTCCCTGAGCCTAGAGCCAGGAGTCAGCCCTGAGCACCGCCCCTCCCCTGAAATCATTAAGAAAGACAAAAAGAGCATCTCAGTCCAGGAAGGAGGCCCCAGCTCGCCCACTCCTCTTGTGCTGACCAGACAGTTTCCTGGCCCCCTCTGAACTGGGCTGTGGTTTCCTTAGCAGGGGGTCAGTGTTCCCCACTTGCCTTCCCTGAGGAGAGGCTGGGCTGCAGATGAGCCACCAAATATCCTGGGAAATGTGAGTTTCCTGTGAACACTCCTGAATGTGCAGTGTGAGTATGTGGGAACATTTGTGTTGATGTGCTGTGATGCTCTGATGAGCCTCTCCAAAGGCAGTTACTGTGCCACCCCCATGAAACTACCAACCTGGATGCAGGGCACCCCGCCACTCTGCCCCTGGAGCCCCACTCATGGTGGCCTTGGACTTCTCCAGTCAACCCTAACCGTTACCTTTCCAGCCCATCTTGTCTGATTATACCCCCACCCTCACCCCACCCCACCCCACCGGTGTCCAAACGCCACTATCTAGAGTGTACATAACACACTGTCTGTGGCACACGGGGCATTTGGCGTCTCTTCTGCAGACAGTGGGGAGTGGGTGCGGGGCGGCAGCTCCATTCTGGCAGGAGAGGTGGGCTGTGCAGTAGCAACACAGCTGTGAAGGGACAGCGGATTGGTTGGTGTCCCCAAGTGCTGTGGGTCTGCCTGTCACTGTCCTGCAGGGCCCTGATGTCAGCTCTATCCTCTTGAGTCTCTGATTTTTTTTTTTTCTTTTTGTGTTACACCCGACGGTGCACAGGGGTTACACCTGGCTCATGCACTCAGGAATTACATCTGGCGGTGCTTGGGGGAGGACCATATGGGATGCTAGGAATTAAACCTGAGTTGGCCACATGTAAGGCACACGCCCTACCTGCTGTGCTATCGCTCAGAATCAGAGCCCAAGTCTCTGATTCTTGCCCCTTTCCCTCCACCTGCTCCCTTTGGTGACAGCCCATTTTAAGCTGCTTTAAGTCTGGCCCTGCTGTCATTTGCCGGGGTGGCTGCCTGGGCACACGTGCCTAAGTGTGTATGTCCACAGACTTGCAGACACAGACTCAAGTGAGATTTGGGTCTTATTTTGCTTTTTGGATATTAGGGACACACCTGGTGGCCCTCAGGGCGTACCTGACACTGCATTCAGGGATCAGTCCTGGTATGGGGAGATCATCTGCAGTGCCAGGGATCGAACCAGGGGTGATTGCAAGTAAGGCAAATTCCCTACCCCCTGTACTATCTCTGGGCCCTGGAGAGTCAGGGTTAGAAGTCGCAGGTTCCCTTCCCCTGAACCCTCTCGCCCCCACTCCCAATCTTGGCACCTGACCTTTTTCTGTTCGTTTACTTGTAAGTATAGGTGAGTTGGCACCACTGGGCAGATACTCATGCCCAAAGGCTGGCACACACTTAGATGCGATGGTGGGGGTGGAGGCATGAATGAAGACTGAAGTAGGGGTCTGGGAGGGAAGTGTGCTTGGCACAGGTAGTCCAGGCCAGGCGGGGAAGGACCCTTGGTGTCTGGACTGGGGTCCTGAGCTTCTCTCCTTATCTTGTGGTGCCACTGCGGGCATGCCCTGCAGGCCCTAGGTTGCCTCATGTCTTTGCTCACTCTTGGTCAAGCTCTGCTAGCACAGCAGGCCTGGTGGAACTGCGGGCGGACTTGACCCTGAGAGTTGATATTTGAGTCTGAGGTGCCTCATTCCTCCCTTTGGGATGCGGGCAGAGTGAGAGGGCTGAGAGTGGCAGAGGCTGAGAGTGGCAGAGGCTCTGCGCGTCGCCTGTCTGAAAGGAGAAGGTGTCCGGTGCTGCTCCTTGCACATGGCAGAGAACTTGGGGAGCAGAACTGTAAGAATCCTCAGACTCTCACCCGAGGTGGGGGAGGAGGGAGAGGGAGAGAATAGGGAGAGAGGGGGAGAAAGGGAGAGAGAGAGAGGCAGACAGAAAGAGAAGAGAGTGAGAGAGGGAGGGAGAGAGGAAGGAGAGGGAGAGAGAAGGAGAGAGAGAGGGAGAGAGGCAGAGGGAGAAGAGAGAGGGAGAGAGGAAGGAGAGGGAGAGGGAGATAGAGGGGAGGGTGGGGAGGAAAAGGGAGAGGGAGAGGGAGAAAGAAAGCAAGCTGAGCCAGCACAGGGCAGAGCCTGGAGTGAAGACAGAGGCTTGGGAGGGAGTGAGGGATATGGTTCCCACGAAAGTGGATTTTTCCTGCACTCGTGGATTCTTGAGAATTGTATGAGCAAGGTGCATACAAAATTCAGGGGTTAAGAAGTTAGCATTTATTCAGTTCCAATAGATAGGACCAAGCCCCTTCCCCACCCCCAAAGTCCACACCTCTCTATTTACCCGTGTAAGTCTTGTCTCTCTTTCTGACCTGAATTCTGGCCGCCTCCATCCAGCCTGTGATGGTCTTGTCTGTGCCCCGCCATTTTCTCTCCAGTGTTTTCTAATCTGAAATCTTGAGCCTCTGGGTTTACCCCCATGATTGTCTCTTGTCTTGGTCATCCTTAATCTCGTTCGTTCGTGTGGGTGGGACGCCTATGCTCAGTACCTTGTCATTGTCTGGGCATTTGAGCCCTTTGTGATTCAGTACTTTGTCTGGGCACAGAACCTGGGCGCCTAATCTGGGGCTTCATTTATTCTGCTGCTATTTCCCACTATAGTCAGCTGATCTTGACTGTGTTCTGTTCTTGTCTGTGTTCCTTTTATGGTGAGGAAGATTCAAATGATCAGATTAGGATTGATAGATAGATTGGTAGTGGGCAGGGTACTTGTCTTGCCTACCTTTGACCTCATTTCATTCTTTTTTCTTTTTCTTTTCTTTTCTTTTCTTTTCTTTTTCTTCTTTTTTTTGGGGGGGTCACATCTGGCGATGCACAGGAGTTACTCCTGGCTCTGCACTCAGGAATTACTCCTGGCCGTGCTCGGGGGGGGGGGGGGGGCATATGGGATGCGGGGAATTGAACTCAGGTCGGCCGCGTGCAAGGCAAACGCCCTGCTCACTGTACTATCACTCCAGCCCCCTCATTCCATTCTTAAACCCACCAGAAGTCATCCCTGAGTCGGGAGTAAGCCTGGAGCACAGTCAGGCGTGGTTCCAAAGTCAAAATAAATAAATCAAAAGAAAATGATCAGATCTGATTAACCTTAGATGAACCAGTTTATCTGGTACAACCCCCCTACCCCCTTTCACCCGCTGAATCAGCAGGGTGCGTTCTGGTCCCTTGGACCAGACCATGGCACACAGGCTGAAAAATCAGAAACGACCTGGCATGGGAATCCGCAGAATTTGGGGACTGTCTTGGAACTCAAGGATGGATGTCCCTCAGGGCTGAGCCCTTCTGGAGAACTGTAGAACCTGGAGTCAGAGAGTCTTGCTTTGCTGAGAACTCTTGAGGGGAGGGTGAAGTCTGGGGGCGGGGGGGGGGGGTCCAGGGAAACCCCGAAGGATTCTGTTTTGAGGGGCTTTGAGTTAAATATTTCAAGAGTGGTGAGAAGCAGAGGCCCCTTTCCCTCCCGCCGAAGGAAGGCCCCAAACTGGCCCTGATTTCTGGGTGACCTTCAGCACTGCAGCCCTACCCGGCCTCAGCCTGAGTGTTTGGGTGGTTGAGAGGGGCTCCCTGGGGGGGACCCCCTCTGAGAGCCTCAGCTCACCTCTGTGTTGGGGGCCTTCGGAGCAGGCCTGGGTCAGAGTGTGCTCCATGTGCTCTTTCACAATCCCCACCAGGCCCTGCCAGGCACCACCGAGTGACCGAGTGACCGAGTGACCGAGTGACCGTGACTCCTCACTGCCAGGTCTGCTCCGCAGGGGCCCAGCCAGCCCTGTGAGGGTCTATTGTTTGTGTGTGGGAGGTGGGACTGGGTGTTGGGCGGTGGCGGGGAGGAGGTGGGGACAGCGCTTCCATCCCAGGGAAGTGGAAAGCCACACTCAGACAAAGGTGGCGCAAGTGTGTATGCCTTTGTCCACTTTGTGACAGGCACACATACAATCTTTCAGGCGGGAATCTGAGTGAAGAAAGGGAGGCAGAAGGGGAAGCAGGCAAGATGCCGACAGGGGCAGCTCTGCGCCCTCAGAGCCCGTGACTCTGCTGAAGTCTTTGTGAGTTTTGAACCCCAAGGTGCTCAGGGCTTATTCTGGGTGCTCAGGACTTACTCCGGCAGGGACTCTGGCGGGGTGGGAGCCCCGCAAGGCTAGTGCCCTAACCATTGTGCTCTCTCTGTGGCCCCCGGGCCTGATGCTGGCCCTGATGGCCTGAGAACCAGGGCTGCAGGGGATGTTGTTCTGTGTGTCCCATGTCCAGGGCTCATGATGGGGTTATTTCTGTGGAGGAAGAGCCAGACTGAGTGTCATGGGCTCCATGTGCACACACAGGGAATAGAGAAGCTACTGGACAATCCCCTTCACAGAGGCCTGCTGTCCCTCTCTCCTGCTCAGTCCTCAGGGCTCTGTGGGGTACAGGCAGCAGCAAACCTGGACCCCCATCCCCACCCTCCCTGAAGAAGCTGGTCTCCTCTGGGCAGCTTTGGCCAGCAGGTACCCTCATGCTCCTCTTGGGGGCAGGGGGGCCCTATGACTTGACTACCCTCTTCACACCTCGAGCCTCTGCTCAGCTGCCTCCTGTTTCCATGTGGTCTTGGACTTCCTGCCACTTCACTGCTCTTCCTGTATGTCTCTGCCTGAGGCTGGTGGCCACAGCTAACAGCCCAGACCCTCCGCACTGGGTGTCTCTGAGAAGGGTGCAGGTCTTTGAGACTGAGGGGTCCCCCACTGGCCATCTGCCTCCTGCCACTTTGGTTGGAGTCACCTTCCCTTGGCTGGGCCCCCTGTGCAGACCCTCCTGCTTGTTGTGGCTAACACGCTCCTGCTTGGGGCCTTTTGTAGGGTTGATGCCAAAGCCCCGCTGCCCTTCGGGCCTGGCTGCCTCCATCGCCGCTGTCCTTGTCATCATGGGCCCGATGGGACTGTGAAGGTGCTGCTGGAAGGCTTCCCCGCACGCTGGACCATGGGTGATCCCCGGTTCCCCGAAACCACGGAACCCACGGAACCCACGGAACTTCTCAGCGCTTATGTGGGAGACAGCCAGCCGCCATGCCCCGCATCACTGGCCGGGGCACCCTGTGGCCCTGCTGAACCTGGTGGGGCGCAGACCTGGGCCTTGGACCCTCCCGATTCTGCCAGGCCTGATGCTTCAACCTGGGACTCCAGCTTCGAGGCCCCAGGGACCACTCACTCCCCGACAGCCGGCTCTACCAGTTCCACACAGGTGGTGTTCTGGGCGGGGATCCTGCAGGCACAGATGTGTGTGCTGGACCTGGAGGAGGAGCTGGAGAAGACAGACGGGCTCAGGGCCGAGCTGAGACGCTGCGTGCCCGTCCCACCCGCAGACCTGAGCCTCCCTGGGGAGGAGGCCTGTGCAGAAGAGAGAAGCAGCATTGGCCCCGAGGAGTGCAGCCAGCAAGAGGATGTGGCAGGCTTGTCCCCAGCCTGGGGGGCCGAGGAGGAGAGCGTGTTCTTCGACAACCCCCTCTTTCTGGACAGCCCTTGCTCCGACGCCAGTACTTCCGGGACGCGCTTTTCCTGGGTCTTCCCGGACTGCCTTGGGACAGGAAGGCCAGAGCCGGAGAGCCCCCAGATGCCGGAGACCCTAGTCCCTAGAGCTGGGGAGCCAGGGGTGCCTGGAAGTGAGCTGGAGGGCGAGGATGTCCCGACTGACTCTGGGGGCTCGGCCACGCCACCGTTCCCAGTGCCTACCTACAAGCTGCACTCCTCCTGGGCTGCCCTGGACACCCCTGAGGGGGCTCCCACAGCACCTCCCAATTGGGAGGAGAGGGAGGTAAGCTATGTCCTGTGGGGGGAGAGGGGAATGCCACCTCCCCTTGCAGGGCTGAGCAGGGGGGCTCAGAAGAATCTCCAGGGGCCTGAGCACTGTTGCATGCAGGTGCTGAAGGGACAGAGCGGGGGTGGGAGTGGGGGGTGGCCACTGCAGGGCTGTGGCAGGCGAGCAGCAAGTCCAGATGTCACCGCAGCAGTGAAGGCCCCAGTCCTGCGGCCCCCAGCTCCGAGAGCTGTGCAGACCTCCCCCTCCACGCCCCCTTCTGCAGGATGGGCCTTACACAAGAGGCCAGGACTCAGTCAGCTGGTCAGGGGGAGTGCTCTCTCATCTGGGACTCTTGAGTTCACAGGCTCCCATCCCTCCCCCCCCCCCCCCCCCCCCCGCCCCGGCCTGTATCTCAGGGAGTCCTTGAGTCAGTGGGAAGCTGGAATGCATGTGAAGGAGATAAGTAGGGAACACAGTTCCTCCCCGCCCCCACTCCAGGAGGCGTCTGCCCAGATAACGGGAGCAGGAGGGCCCGGCCTGTAACTTTCTAATCACACTGGCCCTGCCACAGGGCCCACAACTCCCGCAGACCAGCGGACTCAGTGTCCCTGGACCTTCTTGCTTCAGGGGTCCTGGGTGGCCTAAAGGAGAAGCCTGGGGACCCTCGGCTCTTGGGCCCTGCCTAGCTCATGCCCCCTTGTCCTCTCTGGGACTTAACCCCTCCGGGTTGTGGAGGGAGGCAGGGGAACACAGTGGGTGGGGGCATGGGGGTGTGAGGAGGAGGCCCACAGCGGCCCTGGTTTCTCATCTCCACCTCCCTTCTCCTTATGGAGCCTCCCCGGGTCACAGGGCTTCCTCCCGGGACGTACAGAGACTGGCTGGGGGTGTACAGGACGTCTGAGCTCCACCTGCCCCACATGTTGTACAGATTTGGGCTGGTCCCTTGCCCTCTCTGGGCCTCACCTCTGTAAGGGGGAACCTGATGAGCTCCAGGGACCAGCACCTAGAGAATGTGGGTGTTCTCCTAGCCAGGATCCCTCTTCTGAGCAGTCCCCTGGGGGTGTGGGTGGGGAGAGGGCCCCAGGGAAGAACATTCCTGCCCGCCTTTCCCTCACCCGCACCCCTTGGGCTCACGGCCACCTCTCCTCGTCTCCCTTCAGGCCCTCCCCTGCTCCCCAGGCACCCTGAGAGAAGAGGATCCTTCCTGGCCGCCCCCAGAGCGGCCTCTCTCTGAGGACAGAGGTGAGGCCAGCAAGGAAACCATGGAAAGGGGTGGCAGGAGGGACAGAGATTGCTCTGGAACTTTCCAGAGTCAGGCATCCTTTATGCCTCTGTGATCTGAGTCTCACAGACCCCAGAGTACAGCTGGGCACTGCCTGGGTAGCCCTGGTGGGCCTCCCTGCTGTGGCAGCCAGAAGCCCTGGCGTTGAACCCTTCATCCTGGCTAGTCAAGTGTCATGGGCAGTGACCTCTGGGGAACCTCTCTTTACCCCAGAAGTATTCATAAAGAAACAAATGTGCCAGGGGCCGGAGAGATGGTACAGTGGGTAGGAGGACTCTTGATTTGCGTGCAGCTAACCTTGGTTTGAACCCCAGCACTACACAAGGTTCCCTTGAGGAGTTAACCGTCCCCTATGGTTCCCTGCCATGAATAAGTCCTGAGGACCACCAGGTGTAACCCTACACAACAAAAGTTGTGCCAGTGATCCAGCATTTCCCGTGACGGGTGGTTTTAGCACATCCTGAATCGCTGGTTGTCTCCTCACGGAAGCCTCTGCCCACGGCTTGCATGTGTGGGAGGTCACAGTCTGCAGAGGGACAGGACACGCTACCAACGCTGGGGAGGGGCGGGTGGCACAGGCTGGCTGCCCAGCTCGGCTCCAGCTTTCAGCCCTCCACCATCTCTCCTCCTCACCCACTTCGCTCCAGGCTCTTCATCGGGTGACAAGGATGCCGAGTGTCCCCAAGTGTCTGCTTTCTGTGCCTTGTCCCCTGGCCCCTGGGAGAGCTCAGCTTCTTCGCCGGAGCCAAATAGCCCTGAATCCGTGAGCAGAGATGCTGGTTCCAGGACCAGCCTGGTGACTTCCGAGCCAGACAGCCTGCAGCCCCAGAGCCCGCCCTGGGATCATGATGTTCCCAGAAGGATGCTAGATGCTTCATGCCCAGCACTCTTGACCACCGATGTGATGGAACCGAGTTCCCCAGACACAGAGAAGCCAGAGATGGCTCTAGACCCAGCCACCGAGGTCACCAGTGCCGACCCAGCCAGCACAGCAGCACCTGCCATGGGGTAAGTACCACCTCAGATGTGGGCATCTGAGAATGTATATGCTGTCCTGCTTTTATAGCTCCTGATGAATGCATATTGGGGTTTTGCTTATTTCTTTTACAATTCTCAGGGCCAGAGCAGTAGTACAGCAGGATGGGCACTGGCCATTAATGCCACTGACTCAGGTTAGGTTCCTGGCACCCCAGAGGGTCTCCAGAGCCTTGGCAGGAGTGATCCCTGAGGGCAGAGCAGGATTAATCCCTGAGCACTGATAGGTGTGCCCCCCCCAAAAAAACAGGGAAATGATTCCATTTTATTTTTGTTTTATTCTATTATTATTTTTTACTCCCTGTGTTGGGGATGCCCTGGCTGTGCAAATTTTAAGCTTGGCTATCACTGAGGTCATGCAGCAGGTCTCTCTCTCCATCAGCTGCAGTCCTCCCCTAATCTCTGCTCCACAGGACCTGTGCAAGTGGGTGTGCTCAGGGCAGGGGTGTGTTTGGGTCATGGTGAAGCTCATCTAGGCGTCTCACTTGGCCACACTTCCTGGCTGTGCTGGTCCATGCAGGCCTTAGGGACTCTGCTCAGGAAGGGCTGCGCACATACACACACGCACACACACACACACACACACACACACACACACACACACACCTGGCTGTGTGTGGCCGGAAGCAGCATGGGGCCTTGTCGCTGTGTGTGGACACCAGGGGCTCGGCCTCATGACGGAGCCCTGGTGAGGTTGTGTCTCGCGTCCCTCTGAATGTTTCCTGTGCTGATTCCTGTCAGCCCGGCGTGAGGCCCCTGACCCCAGTTACAGGTGGAGTGTGAGAAGCACAGGAGGCCCAGCACAGAGCAGACAGGGCAGGGGTTGGGGTTGTGATTTATGTTGATGTACCGGCTATGGCGATGGGGCAAAGCAGAGACCAGGGTCACATCCCACGATTGTCTGTGTAACCTGACAGTTCAGAAGTTGCAACGGGTAGGCCCGGTGCTACAAACCCAGCTCTGAGCCTCACACGGGCTTAGCAAGCCTGAGCTTCCCTCCTGGAGCTCCGAGAGGAGAGGTTCTAGGTGTACAGAAGCAGCACCCTGCAAGCTGGGTGCCAGGCTTGCCATCTGCAGAGGAGGGGAAGGCGTCTTCCCCAGACCGTGAGCCCCAGAATACCAGGGCACTGCATGCTGCTAAGTCTGGCATGGGAGAAGCAGCCCAGGCCTGGTGCCTGCCTCACGGCCGTAGCAAACCAACAGCAGAAGTTGGGTGAGGGCCAGGGCTTTAGTGATCCTTTGGCCTATTGCAGGACAAGTATTACCCCCAACCCATGACAGCCAGGAATGAAGAAGGGAGTCTGGAGAGCTGGATGTCTGCCCACCCTCTGTGGGAAGCTGGATGGGGTCACTGCACACACCCACACACACACATACACACACACACACACACACACACACACATGCACTGCACACTCGCACAGAACCATGGCTGCCCTGGTTTCTGCTCAGTGACTGGGGGTTAATTCTGTTGCTATCTTGTGTGGAGACAGCCTGTCAGTGCCAGAATTCAAAGAAGCATCTGGGAAAACGTGCACAGGAGCTGTGCATCAGATGTTTATCTCCAGGGTCTGGAAAGAGGGTTCACCCCTGGAACACAGAGTCAGTTCATGCTGGGTTAGAGTGAGTGCAGGGCTCTCATGGCACACGTTGATGAAAGGTTCCTCCATGGAGGCTTTCCTCCACAGGTAGATAACACTCTTTCACCAGTTGGCTGATTCAGTCTTACTTTCACACTGGGGAACCAAATTTCATGCTCCAGACCCAGCAAGGTGCCCTGATTTTCTTTTCTTTTCTTTTCTTTTTGTCTTTTTTTTTAATTAGCGAAACAACATGAGGTACAGTTGTAGACTTACAAACTTTCATGCTTGGGTTTCAGTTATACAATGATCGAGTACCCATCCCTCCACCACTGTCCATTCTCTACGACCAATGATCTCAGTAGCCCTCCCACCTCCCCTCCCCCACATCCCGCCCCACCTATGTGGCAGGGATTCCCTTTTACTCTCTCTTTCCTTTAGGGTGTTGTGGTTTGCAATAGAGGTATTGAGTGGCCATCATGTTCGGTCTATAGTCTACTTTCAGCACACATCTCGCATCCCGAGCGAATCCTCCAAACGACCTTTACTTGGTGTTCCCTTTTCTATCTGAGCTGTCTTATCCCCCAGCATGTACTGCCGGCTTCCAAGCCATGGAGCAGACCTCCTGGTACTTATCTAAACTATTCTTGGTTGTCTCCCATTCTGTTACTTTATATTCCCCAGATGAGTGCAGTCTTTCTATGTCTGTCCCTCTTTCTGACTCATTTCATTTAGCATGATACTTTCCATGTAGAATCACTTGTATGCAAATTTCATGACTTCATCTTTTTAACAGCTGCATAATATTCCATTGTGTAGATGTACCAAAGTTTCTTTAGCCAGTCATCTGTTCTTGGGCACTCAGGTTTTTTCCAGATTTTGGCTGTTGAGAACAGTGCAGCAATGAACATACAAGTGCAGATGTCATTTCGACTGTACTTTTTTGCCTCTCCAGGTTATATTCCCAGGAGTGGTATTGCAGGGTCAAATGGGAGCTCGATTTCTATTTTTTTTCTTTTTGGGTCACACCCAGCAATGCACAGGGGTTACTTCTGGCTCTGCACTCAGGAATTATTCCTGGCGGTGCTCAGGGGACCATATGGGATGCTGGGAATCGAACCCGGGTTGGCTGCATGCAAGGCAAAAGCCCTACCCGCTGTGCAATCACTCCAGCCCCAATTTCTAATTTTTTGAGAGTCGTCCATACTGTTTTCCAAAAGGGCTGAACCAGTCGGCATTCCCACAAGCAGTGAAGGAGGGTCCCTTTCTCCCTATACCAGCGCCAACACAGTCTGCTTTTGTTCTTTTGGATGTGGGCCAGTCTCTGTGGTGTGAAATGATATCTCATTGTTGTTTTGATCTGCCTCTCCCTGATTAATGATGTAGAGCATTTTCTCATGTGCCTTTTAGCCATTCGTATTTCTTCTTTGACAAAGTTTCTGTTCATTTTGTCGCCTCATTTTTTGATGGGGTTGGTTGTTTTCTTCTTGTGGAGTTCAACCAGTGCTTTGTATATACTTGATACCAACCCCTTATTGGATGGGTATTGGGTGAATATCCTTTCTTATGCTGTAGACTGTCTTTGTATTTTAGTCACTGTTTCTTTTGAGATGCAGAAGCTTTTTAGTTTAAGATAGTCCCTCCCATTTGTTTATCTTTATTTTCACTTGCTTGACCAGTGGCATATCATCTTTGAAGATACCGTTAGCTTCAATGTCATGGAGCGTTTTTCCAACATTGTCTTCAATGTACCTTATGGATTCTGGTCTGATGTTGAGGTCTTTAATCCATTTTGATCTTACTTTTGTACATGGTGTTAGTTTAGAGATCTAAGCCCCTTTTTTTCCATGTAGCTGTCCAGTTTTGCCAGCACAGTTTGTTAAAGAGTCTTTCCTTGCTCTACTTCACATTTCTTGCTCCCTTATCAAAGATTAGATGATCATATATTTGGGGGTGGGAGAGTGTCAGTATATTCATCCCTGTTCCATTGGTTTGCAGCTCTGCCTTTGTTCCAGTATCATGCTGTTTTAATTATTACTGCTTTGTAGTAGAGTTTGAGGTTGGGAAGGTTGATTCCTCCCATTTTCTTTTTCCCAAGAATGACTTTAGCTATTCGTGGGGGCTTATTGTTCCTTATGAATTTCAGGAGTGTTTGCTCCATTTCTTTGAAGAATGTCATGGGTGTCCTTATAGGAATTGCGTTGAGTTTATACAATGCTTTGGGGAGTGTTGCCAATTTGACAATGTTAAATCTCCCAATCCATGAGCAGGGGATAACTTTCCATTTACTCCTGTCCTCTTTTATTTCCTGAAGTAAGAGTTTTGTAGTTTTCTTTGTACAGGTCTTTTATGTCCTTAGTTGAGCTAATTCTTAGGTACTTGATTTTCTGAGGAACAATTGTGAAAGGGATTGCTTTTTTCATGTTACTTTCTTCTCTCTCATTATTTGCATATAGGAAAGCCATGGACTTTTGGGTATTGATTTTATAGCCTGCAACTTTACAACTCTACTGTTTCTAAGAGTTTCTTGGTAGAGTTCTCTTAGTATCGTATTATCTGCGAATAGTGAGAGCTTGATTTCTTCTTTTCCTATCTGAATGCCCTTAATATCTTTTTCTTGCCTAATCACTATTGCAAGTCCTTCCAGTACTATGTTGAACAGAAGTGGAGAGAGTGGGCATTCTTGTCTCATCCCTGATCTTAGAGGGAAGGCTCTTAATTTTTCCTCATTGAGGATGATACTTGCCATAGGCTTGTGGTGGATGGCTTTGACTATATTGAGGAAAGTCCCTTTTATTCCCATTTTGGCGAGGGTTTTCATCATTTACAGGTGCTGGATCTTGTCAAATGCTTTCTCTGCATCTATTGATATGATCATATGTTTTTTATCTTTTCTTTTGTTGATATTATGGATTAAGTAAATTGATTTCCAAATGTTAAACCATCCTTGCATCCCTGGGATGAATCCCACTTGGTTGTGGTGTATGATCTTTTTGATGAGTTGTTGAATTTCATTTGCTAGTATTTTGTTGAGAATCTTCACATCCATGTTCATCAGGGACATCGGACTGTAGTTTTCTTTTTCTTGTAGTGTTTTTGTTTCTTTTTGGTATTAGGGAGATTTGAGCCTCATAGAAACTGTTTGGGAGAGTTTCTGTTTCTTCAATTTCCTGGAAAAGCTTGAGAAGAACTGGCGATAGGTCCTCTTTAAATGTTTGGAAAAATTTGCTAGTGAATCCACCTGGATCTGGGCTTTTGTTTTTGGGAAAACTTTTTATTACAGCTTCAGTTTTCCTTGATATTATTGGGACTATTCAAGTATTCTAGATCTTCTTGATTCAGAGTTGTGAGATTATAGGAATCCAGGAATTTATCCATTTCTTCAACTTTCTCTTGTTTCGTGGCATACAGACTTTCAAAGTAGTCTCTTATGCTCTTTTGAATTTCTTTGGTTTCTGTTGTGATATCTCCCTTTTCATTTCTGATTAGGGTTCTCTTTCTTTGTGAGTCTTGCTAGTGGTTTGTCAATCTTATTTATTTTCTCGAAGAACCAACTCTTCATTTCATTGATCTTTGTTTTTTGGGTTTCCATGTCGTTGATTTCTGCTCTAAGTTTTATGATCTCTTTTCTTTTGCCTAGTTTGAGCTCCTTTTGTTGGTCCTTTTCTAAGATCTTGAGCTGTGAAGTCAAGTTGTTTATGTGGGCCCTTTCTTCCTTCCTTAGAAATGCTTGCAGAGCTATAAAATTTTCCCTTAATACGGCTTTACTTGTGTCCCACAGGTTCTGGCTGCTCGTGTCATCATTCTCATTTGTTTCCAGATATCTTTTGGTTTCTTCCATGATTCTTTACTGAGCCACTCGTTGTTCAGCATTGAGTTGTTTAATTTTCAGGTGTTTGATTTTGTTTTCTGCGTCTGTACATGATTAACTTCTATCTTCAGTGCATCGTGGTCTAAAAGATAGTTGATACAATGTCTATCTTCCTGATTCTGTTGAGGTATGCTTTGTGGCCCAGCACATGGTCTATTCTGGAAAATGTTCCATGTGCACTGGAAAAGAATGTGTATTATTTTTTGGGGGGAGGGGGGGTGTAAAGTTCTGTATAGATCTATTAGCGCTCTCTCTTCTATTTCTTCCTTCAGAGACATTATTTCCTTGCTGAGTTTTAATCTTCTTGATCTATCCAGAGGTGATATGGTGGTGTTGAAGTCTCCAACTACTGTTGTGTTGTTTGCAATGTACTTCTTAAGGTCTGTTAGCAGTTGTAGGCATTTGGCTGGTCCCTCAGTGGGCGAGTATACATTTAGGAGTGTGATTTCTTCCTGCTGTACATATCCCATAATTAATAAAAAATGGCCTTCACTGTCCCTTCTAATCTCTTTCAACCTGAAATCTATGTTGTATAATACTAGTAAGGCCACCCTAGGTTTTTTGAGGGGGTTGTTTGCTTGCAGGATTGTTTTCCATCCTTTGACTTTGAGTCTGTATTTGTTCTGACTGTTCAGGTGTGTTTTTTTGTAGACAGCAGAAGGTTGGGTTCTGTCTCTGAATCCATTTTGCCACTCTGTGTCTCTTAATTGGTGAATTTAAACCATTGACGTTGAGAGAGATTAGTGTCATGGGGTTTTGTGTCATCTTTTCTGTAAGGGTTTGTTGTGCTTGTAGGCGTTTGTCTTGTCTTACAGTAGCCCCTTTAGCCCTTATTTTAGGTTTGGTTTTGAGTCTATGAAGTTCCTGAGCTGCTGTTTATCCAGAAAATAGTGTACTGTTCCTTTGAGTTTGAGTGAGAGTTTAGCCAGATGAAGCGTTCATTTCAGTGAGTTTTTTCACAGTATCCCACCATTGCCTTCAAGCTTGGAGGATTTCCTCTGATGGGTCTGCTGTGAATCTAAGTGGTGCTCCTTTATATGTGATTTCCTTTTTTGACCTTGCTGCTTGCAGTACTGTGTCTCTATCTGTGGCATCCATCACTCTATGATATGTCTTGGAGTGTTTTTGTTAGGGTCTCTTTTAGCTGGCACCCTTCGGGCTCCTTGAATCTGGATGCCTGCATTCTCCAATTCTGGGAACTTTTCAGCAGTGATTTCTTTAACTGCAGCTTTTTCATTGGGATTTCTTCCCTGTACCTCTGGTACTCCAATGATTCTAATGTTGTTCCTCTTAAAATCATCCCCTAGGACTCTGATTTGCCCTAGAGTTATTTTGAGGTCTCTTCCCATTGTTTGTTGTTACCTGTAGGCTTCCTGCAGCTCATTTTCAAACTCACTGATTCTGTCATCTGCTGTAGCCATTCTACTATTGAGGGCACACACTGAATTTTTTTATTTCATTTACCAAATCCTTTATTCCTGACACTTCTCTGCGTAGCTTTTCAGTTTCTTCTCTCATTTCTTCCTGTAATTTCTCGATTGTCCGATCCATTGTTTCTTTCATATCCTCCTTTAATTTACTGGATATAGTCCCACCGTTTCTTTGAGTTCATTGAACATCTTCAGTAGTTCATCTCTGAATTCTTTATCGGAGAGCTCACATTTGTGAGTAATGCCTGTTGAGGCTTCTGGATTCTTTACATCGTCCTCTCCTCACGAGGTGGTGGGGATTTGCGCTGTTTCTTCATGTTGTGGTGGTGGTATGGAGGCTGAGTTGTGACGCCAGATTTCTGGGTATGGGTAAAATAACTGCGGGCACTGGCCCCCAAATAGGCCACGCCCACTTCTGCAGAGGCCACGCCTATGTGGCAGAGGCCACGCCCTCTGGCAGCACTGTAGCTGGGGAACTGGGTGCTAGGGCAGGTCGGGAAGGCGAAGGCTCACACAAACTTGGGCGGGGAACAAAAAACAGTGGCGGTGCTGGGGATCAGCGTGCAGTCCACTAGGGCGGCCGTGGGGGGGAGGGCGGAGCTGGGAGGATCTGGGAGGGGCCCTGATTTTCACAGTGAAATCATACAGGTCCTTTTCCTTGCAGTTTATTTCCCTGATTATTCCATGGTTACTTGTTATTTAACGTTGTTATTCTATTTATTAAAACTATTTGATTGCGAGAACAGGTCACACACCTTACAGCTCACCTCCCATAATTGTTTACATACATACCCATGTCAAACATAGACCTTAGGTCTAGTTTTCATTTCTGCATCTTTTGTATCTAGACACGTTGTTGTTAGGTCAATCTAGTGGGCCATTTTTAGTAGGTGTTTGGTGCCTTATCCACCTCTCTCTCTCTTCCTCTCTCGTTCTCTTTCTCTCTCCTCTCTCTCTCTGTCTCTCACTCTGTCTCCCTGTCTCTCTCTCCCTCTGTGTGTGTGTGTGTGTGTGTGTGTGTGTGTGTGTGTCTGTCTGTCTGTCTGTCTGTCTTTCTCTCTAGGGTGGGGAATCAGGCTATACCCAGCAGTGCTGGGGGAATATACCTGGCTCCAAGCTCAGAAGTGACCCTGGGGATCAAACAGGGGTCAGTGGGATGTGGAGCAAGTGCTCTACCTGTGGTGGAGAGAGTGGTTTTCTCTCTAACCCTTCCACTTCCTTCTCTGACAGCCACCCTCACTTTTGTTTTCTCCTCTTGTGTTACTCTTGGGACCAGGCTGTACCTTGTCACTGGTCAGACACTTCCCCTGTGGACCCTGGACTTGATGGGGTTTTTTTGTTTGTTTGTTTGTTTGTTTTTTTGGTTTCTAGGGCTGGAGCGATAGCAAAGCGGGTAGGGCGTTCGCCTTACAAGCGGCCAACATGGCCGACCCGAGTTCGATTCCTCCGCCCCTCTCGGAGAGCCCGGCAAGCTACCGAGAGTATTCGATATGCCAGACACAGTAACAACAAAGTCTCCAATGGAGACGTTACTGGGCCCGCTCGAGCAAATCGACGATCAACGGGAGGGCCATACATACATACTAAGCCATGCTCAGTGATGCTCATATCCTGGCTCTGTGCTCACCCCTGTGGCAAGGCTCGGGGTACCGTATGGCACCCAGTCAGCCATGTGCAAGGTTTCCCGCTCACTGTCTCTCTGTGCCCCAGACCCTCGGTTTGCTTTCCATCAGTTTGCATTGTACCTCACTCCCTGTGGGTTTCTCTGTGGGTGCCCTGCGTGAGGTGTGCAGGAGGGTCAGGATAGCACAGAGCTGGGTGTCCAAGCAGAGTGGGGCAGGCTGTTTGCTGGGACCTTGTTTTCTAAGTGGTCAGTTTCACAGTCATCATTGTCTATCCCGATTGCTCTGCTGGCCTGCAGTGTTCATTGTATTCCCCAGGCTCCCAACAATGCAGGTAACAAGGATACCCTGTGCCTCGTGGCAGCAAGAGAGCAAAGGGGGCAGGTTGAGCTACGTTCGGGGCACCTCTGTGGTTTGGGGTATGTCTGCCCCTGATGGCCATTGCCTGACCTGTGCACGGCCCTGAGAGTCCCTTGCATGCCCTTTGCTCTGGTCAGTGTGTCCAGGACACACCCTGTACCTCTGGGGCTCTTCCTTCCTGTGTTGGGGGTGGCCAGGAGACCTCCTGGGGGAGGCAGGCCTAATGTGGGGGACAGTGGCCTGCTGGAGTGTGGAGAGACAGCCCCTGCTTGGGTTGACTCCAGCAGTATTTCAAAGGGCCGCCTTAGGTGACCAAGGCTCTGAACCTCTCTGGGGTTCTCTCGAGGAAGTACTCATTCCTGAGCCATGAGCGACACTTCCACTTCCCCCTTGGGTTGTCACACAGCAGCTAAGCTACACCTCAGTCCCCTCCCTGCCAGTCAGGCCCTGACCGCTGCCCTTCCCACCCCCAGCTGCTCCCCAGAATTCCTGGCTGTGATTCAAGGGTCCCCTCCCCACCCTCCCCAACCCATGTGGAGTGTCTGAGGATGTGGGTGGCCTTTTCCAGGCTTGCTGAAGACCCTGTGCCCCCAGTCTGCATCCCGGAAGATGGCCAGGAGCCACCGACGGGAGAGAAGCTGGCAAATGGGGTGAGACCTGACAAGGGGGCCTGGAATCTGGCGTCTCGCCTCTTCCACCTGGAGGGTTTCCGCAAGTCAGAAGTGGCCGCCTACCTGCGCAAGAAGTAAGGGGCTTGAACCTAGAGGAGTGGGGTGGGGGCCTTCCCACTCAGGCTATTTCTCCTGCCCACATCCCTACTGTCCCTACGGGGCAGCTCCCAGCCCCTCCACCCAGCCACTCCCTTCGACCCTGACTCCACCCGGGACACACACACACACACACACACACACACACACACATACACAGTCACTCACATAGGCAGCTGAGGCCTAGGGCCGATGCAGGAGCCTTTCCCTGTCAGCATACACACACACACACACAGTCACGCACACAGGCAGCTGAGGCCTAGGGCCGATGCAGGAGCCTTTCCTGTCAGCCTGGACTGGTCAGCTGGGTGGGGACTGTGGGTGGCGTCATATCCCATCTCCCCTGCAGCAATGACTTCAGCCGGGCCGTGGCCGAGGAGTACTTGTCTTTCTTCCAGTTTGGAGGCCAGAGCCTGGACCGCGCCCTCCGGTAGGCGTCCAGGGCCTGTGGGGGGCAGCCAGGGAGGAGGGAAGGCTGGAGCAGGGAGTCTTGGCCGGGCTGGAATCCTCCATATCCTGGGGCCTGCTGACTGTGCCTGCCCCGGCTCCAGCCTTGCTGCTGGCTGACACTCTGTCTGTCCAGGGACTTCCTGCAGGCCCTCGTGCTCAGTGGGGAGACTCAGGAGCGGGAGCGAGTCCTCTACCAGTTCTCCCGACGCTTCCATTACTGCAACCCAGGGCTCTTCTCCTCTGTGGGTAGGTAACAGCTGGCCTGGAAGGGACACAGGACAGGCAGGGAGCCTCTAGGAAGATGACTGGGATGTGTCGTCTGTCTGTGGGATTCACGGGGTAATGTCTGGTGTGTGTGTGTGTGTGTGTGTGTGTGTATGAAAAAGTGTATGTGTATACAAGTGTGTGAGTATATGTATTGTATATGAGTGTGAGTGTATGTGTGTATGAGTGAATATGTGTATGAGTGTGTGTATATAAATGTGAGTCTTGTATAAGTATGTGTATTGTTTATTATATGAGGGTGAGTATATATGAGTGAATATGTTTATATGTGTATGTATGTGTGTGCGTGTATACGTGCGTGTGTGCCTTTGTGTGTGTGAGAGAGAGAAAATGTGTGTGTGTTCCTGTGAGTGTGTTCATGATTGTGTGAGTGTGTGTGTCTTTGAGTCTGTGAATAATGTATATATGAGTGTGAGTACATCAGTGTGAGTGTATGTGTTTATGAGTGTGTGTATATATGAGGTGTGAGTGTTCGGTATGTGTATGTGTATATGAGTATATGTGAGTATATGTATTGTATATGAGTGTGAGTATATGTGTGTATGAGTGTATGAATGTGTGTATATAAAAGAGTATGTGAGTGTTGTGTAAATATGTGTATTGTTTATTGTGTAGCACTGTAGCACTGTCCTCCCGTTGTTCATTGAGGTGCTCAAGTGGGCACCAGTAACGTCTCCATTGTGAGATTTGTTGTTACTGTTTTGGGCATGTCGAATATGCCACAGGAAGCTTGCCAGGCTCTGCCATGTAAGTGGGATACTCTTGGTAGCTTGCCGCGTTCTCCGAGAGGGACGGAGGAATTGAACCTGGGTCGGCCTTGTGCAAGGCAAATGCCCTACCCTCTGTGCTATGGCTCCAGCCCTATATCGTGTATTGTATACAATATTGTATCTTGTGTATTGTATGAGGATGTGTGTATATATGAGTGGTTTGTGTGTGTGTGTGTGTGTGTGTGGGTGTGGGTGTGTGTGTAGCAGGCGTGGAGGTGGGACTGAGGAGAACCAGAGCATCTGGGATCTGTGTGGGCAGCATCCCTGTTCCAACAAGCTTTTTCCGGGCCAGATTGCGTCCACACCTTGACCTGTGCCATCATGCTACTTAATACGGATCTGCACGGACAGGTGAGGGTGTGGTGGGTTCAGCCCCGGGCTCCGAGGCAGGGCTGTGGGTGCTGTAAAGAGGGCAGTGGAGACCAGAGGCTGGGGGGCTCTGGCCTGTGGGTTTGGGCAGGGAGTTGGGGTTTATTCTGTTGGGACTAGAGTGAGAACTGCTCCCCCCCACCCCCCCGCCCCGTGGCCACAGAACATTGGGAAGAGCATGAGCTGCCAGGAATTCATCACCAACCTGCACGGCCTGCAAGACGGCGGAAACTTCCCCAAGGAGCTGCTGAAGGTACATTCCTCAGGGGTGCTCAGTGCCCACCCATGCCCCTGGCATGCTAAGGGAAGTGCCGAGCTTGGGACTAGCTCTGCATAAACCCCCTGGAAGCAGGAACAAGCTTGTTGGTGGAAAGGCTTCTCCAAGTGTGCTTCCTTGAGCCAGTGCAGACTTGTAAGTCTGGCTGAGTCCAAATCTCTGCACCTGAGACCCCTAAATGCTTAATTAGGCCCCACATGACACGGAAACCTGTGGCGTTTGAGAAGCATTCGCTTTCGGGTCTCTTTGTGGACACATGAAAAGGCTTCAGGGGCTGGAGCAATTGTACCACGGGTAGGGCGCTTACCTTGCACACAACCAACTTGGGTTCTATCTCCAGCACCCCATATGGTCTCCTTAACCCCTCTGGAGTGATCCCTGAGTGCTGAGCCAGGAATAAGCCCTGAGCACTGCTGGAGATGCTCCAAAACAAAACAGAAAACCAGACTAGGGTTTGGGTTTTGTATCTGGTTTGATTTCTAGTCTCAGGCCACCCCTCCCTCGCTGACCGCAGCCTCCCTGGGGATGTTCACCATCTGGCCACGTTGTTCTCACCTGATGCCCAGCATAGAGCCTGCCTGTTCTCAGCGGTCACAGCTCCTGTGCTTGCGTCTCATTGGAGAACCTTCCTCCAACGCTAGAAAGTGCCAAGCATGCTACCTGGCACTGCCAGGGCCATGGCCAACACAATGTGTCTCACAAGTCCTCTTCCTTCCTTAGTTCATTCATTCATTCATTCATTCATTTGTTCACTCCCTCATTGCCCACCCCCCATGGGGTTGCTATGGGCTCTTCTATCTCTGGGAGACCTCCAGGTGAGATGGCCTGGAGGTGAGTCATTTCCAGGTGAAGAGAATGAAGAATGAGACTTGCTTTTTGTTCTGCCATTGTCTCTAACACTCAGTCTGGGCCCGGCATGTGGCAGAGACTCTTGTTTGTTCATCCACCTATTTGACCCTCAGTCCCTCCTTGATCAGACACAGACACTGCAGGGCAACAGTGAAGGGGGGAGAAGCAGGCCGCATGCCCCTCCCCACTCAGCCCTGCCACTTCTGTGCTCCTATTGCAGGCCCTCTACTGGTCTATCCGGAGTGAGAAGCTCGAGTGGGCCGTGTAAGTGTGACCCCCTACCCTCTCCCTTCCACCTCAGGGCCTTTCCTCCAAGCACTTGTCCTCCGGAACATTTGAGAAGCTTGGGATCCTGAACAGGGGGCATCCTCTGCCAGGGTGGAGCCCAAAGCATGGCTTTGGGGTGCAGAATGTGCAGGGGTGGATAGCCAGGGAGAATGTGGAAGAACTGCAGGCTCCCGTGATTGTAGCCATTGATGAATTAGCAGACTGGTTGAGTCCCTCAGAGGAATTCTTTATCGGGAAGGCCTCAGGGATTGTACCCCAGGAGGTCATGGCCAGTCTCAGCTGGATTCTTTGGTGTCCAGGGATGAGGAAGATGCAGCCAGACCTGAGAAGGCCCAGACACCGTCCCTGGCTGGCAAGCTGTGCAGTCCCCTCCTGCAGCTGGCACAGGAACCCACGGCACCCACCTACAAGAAGGGCATTCTGGCACGCAAGATGCACCATGACGCTGACGGCAAGAAGAGTGAGTATCTGCGGCTCTGCTTGGGGCCTCAAGGTCCCGTGGCCAGGGTCCAGGGCAGTACCCTCCTGGCTCACCTGCGGCCTGGGCTGCTGTGTAAGCTCCTCAGGCTGCCAGACCAAACTGGGCTAGGTAGTTCATACCCCAGGGCCACATGGAGGCAAAAAGGCTGAGCTCCACTTTGCAAATGGGGTTTGGGAGGTAGAGAGCAGTGAAGTAAAGGCTCCCAAGAAATCATGGTTATTTGGAGTTGGGAAAACGGATCCCCCCCTCTGAGGAAGGATAAAGCAGGTGTGCTCTGCTCTGAGCACAGATTGCTGTGTCTGGGACCTCCTTCCTCCATGGCAGGAAGTTTCAGAGTGGGCGGCAGCCAGGCCAGAGCAGAAGGGAAGCCGTGGGTCGTGGAGCATGGTAGCCAGTCAGGGAACTGGAGTTTGGCCACAGGTAAAGCCAGAGATGCCAGAAGGAGGCTGGCCTTGTCCTGCCCGAGGAGTACCCAGACCCTGGGCATCCCTAGAAGGGCCCAGGGAGCAGCTGAGTTCAGCTGTGGCTGGGCTGTGTGTGTGTGTGTGTGTGTGTGTGTAAGGGGACATGTGCGTGTCTATGAAAATGTCCCCATCCGTGGAAGTTAGCAAGCATGTCAGCCTGGAGGTGTATGCCTGCCTGCCCTTGGCTGCTGGGTCTTTGTGGGCTCCCAGGGGAGATTGTGAGTGTCCAGGAGGGCCCCTGACCATGCCCGGACCGCTCTCACCACCCACTTTGTTCTCCGCAGCGCCTTGGGGCAAGCGTGGCTGGAAGATGTTCCACACTCTGCTCCGCGGGATGGTCCTCTACTTCCTGAAGGTACAGAAGGCAGCTTTCTTTGTCTCTTCGGGGCTGTGAGGAGTGTGGGGGGCCAGCCCGGGAAGGGTGGGCAGCTGTGACAGTGCCCTTTCGTGCTGTGTGGCAGGGAGAGGACTGCAACCCTGAGGGGGAGAGTTTGATCAGGCAGATGGTGGATGAGCCCGTGGGGGTGCACCACTCCTTGGCCTCCCCGGCCACCCATTACACCAAGAAGGCGCATGTCTTCCAGCTGCGAACGGCCGACTGGCGCCTCTACCTCTTCCAGGCACCGTGAGTTGGGTGGGCAAGCAGTGGCTGCCAGCTCCCCGCTGTGCTCCCCTGACCTCTGCTGCTGGCCGGCTGGGCTGGGGTATGCAGAGCACCTCACTCTACTGCTTGGGGACTTCAGCCGCACCTGGCAATGGGGAGCTTCCTGCTGCCATGTGCTTCCTCAGCCTCTTCCTTCTGCAAGCAGGCTCCGCTGCCCAGCGGATTCTAGGAAGTCACTAACAATTGATCATGGCTTGGCACTTGATATAAAAAAAAAAAATCAATGGCCTCCCAGAGAAAACTCCCGCAAGCGACAGACAAATGGCTGAGGCGAGCTGGCTCCAAGCTTCCCTGCTTACAAAGCCTGGAAGTGGGGGGCTCTCAGGGTGGAGTGGGAACAGTTGGGGCCCCACAGCCTGTTCTGCCCACAGCACCGCCAAGGAGATGGGCTCCTGGATCGCCCGCATCAACCTGGCCTCGGCCACGCACTCGGCACCACCCTTCCCGGCTGCAGTGGGCTCCCAGCGGAGATTTGTCCGGCCAATTCTGCCCATGGGGCCGGCCCAGAGCTCCCTGGTACTCCTCCCGCCTTCCACTAAGGGGTCTGGGAAAGTGGGTTGGGGGAGTGCACACTGGGATGTGGGGACCTGGCACCCCAGGTTCTGCACCTGCACCACAGGCAGGAGGGTTGTTTTATGGTGGGGGTTGGGGAATGCCTGGCCATGCTCCGGGCTCGCTCCTGTGGTTCTTGGGAGACCATAATGGGGTACCGGGGGTCCAACTCAGGTGGGCCACGTGCAAAGCGCTTCCCAGCTGCCCAGGTGGGGCACTCAGGTCAGCTTTTCCAGGTCACTCTGTCCCCAGGAGGAGCAGCATCGGGCCCATGAGAACTGCCTAGATGCTGCCGCCGACGACCTGCTGGACCTGCAGAGGAAGCTGCCAGAGCGCCGGGGCCGCAGTCGCGATGTGGAGGAGTACCGCTTGCGGAAGGAGTACCTGGAGTATGAGGTGATGCCCCAGTCCATGGCTGGCCTCGAAGGGCTCCACGGCTGCACCTCTGCCGCCCCCGTGTGGCCGTGTCCTGCCTTGGAGCTCTGGGAATCGTGTGGCTGCTGACCGGGCCCCAGGGCCCTGAGAAGTCGAGCAGAACTTGCGAGGCACACAGGCCAGGCTGGGGGGAGTGTGTGTTTCTGTGCCACAGACCCTCACGTCTTGTGCTTGTCCTGGGAGTGCAGAGCAGGCGTGTCTGGAGATACTCTTAGTGGGGGGCTACATAGATATGTGTGTGTGTGTGTGTGTGTGTGTGTGTGTGTGTGTGTAAAATCACTGTCCTCTCGTTGTTCATCCATTTGCTCGAGTGGACACCAGTAATGTCTCCATTGTGAGACTTGTTGTTACTGTTTTTGGCATATTGAATACGCCACCGGGAGCTTACCAACCTCTGCCATATGGGCGGGATACTCTCGGTAGCTTGCCGAGCTCTCGGAGAGGAACGGAGGAATCAGACCTGAGTCGGCCGCATGCAAGGCAAACTACTCACTACATACATACATACATACATACATATATATATATACACACACATACATATATATCACTGTCACTGTCCTCCCGTTGTTCATCAGTTTGCTCGAGCGGGCCCAGTAATGTCTCCATTGTGACAATTGTTACTGTGTTTGACATATCGAATACATGACGGGTAGCTTGCCAGGCTTTGCCGTGCGGGCGAGATACTCTTGGTAGCTTGCCAGGCTCTCGGAGAGGGGCAGAGGAATCGAACCCGGATCGGCAATGTTGGCCACTTGCTAGGCAAATGCCCTACCCGCTGTGCTCTCGCTCCAGCCACACACACACACACACACACACACACACATACATATATATGTACATAGTTCATACATGTGTTTATGAAATGCTTTTAAGAGTGGACAGCCCTTGAATAACCAGGATATGGATTGGGCAGGTCCACTTATGAGCAGATAGTTTTTCGTCTGCGGGTTCTTCATTTTCAGATTCAGCCAGCTGGAATCCAGAGATGCAGGATCTGTGTATATGCAGGAGCTGCTTGAGGGATGACACCTGATGTGTTTTAGGTTACAGGAAATTGGCACACCTCACCTCTGCCTTATTTAGGAGGCAACTTGAATTTAATTTTCCTTAAGTTAGAAGTTTAGCTGAGGGACTGGGGCGATAGCACAGCGGGTAGGACGACAGGGCACGCGGCCAACCTAGGTTCGATTCCCAGCATCCCATATGGTTCTCCCCAGCACCGCCAGGAGTAATTCCTGAGTGCATGAGCTAGGAGTAACCCCTGAGTGCATGAGCCAGTAACCCCTGTGCATCGTCGAGTGTGACCCAAAATGCAAAAAATAAATAAATAAAAAAAGATATTTAGCTGAGTTAGTGTCCCCCTGATATCTCCCTAGTAACAACAGGTAATATTTGGGGAGCTGGTATTGATTGTGTGGATTATTCATGTAGTTTGCTGATAACTCTGCCTTCAGGATCCTTGTTCCCAGCTCCAAGCTGGGGACTGAAAGATGGAGAGATTCCATAGCAGATGAGAGCATGTGCCCTTCCAATCCCGAACAGGACTCCTGGGGGGTCGTGACTCTGGAATGACCTTCCTTAGCTCAATGACGAAGTCCAAAAGGCTTCACTGCCACCTACCATCTCATGTCCCTTCACACTCTAGGGCCCTAAGTAAGAGGGGCCTGTGAAGGTTGTCTTAGGAGTGAGATCAGCAGCCATTCAGAGGCAACAAGCAGAGAAGGAAGCTCAGGGTCAGCAGTGCGTCCTACTGTGCCCTCCTGCCCGCCCACCCATCCATCTGGCCTGTTGGTGGCTTGTCTGGCTGAGCTCACCCCTTTCTAGCTATGGGGGTCTGCCAAGGACCTCAGCTCAGCCTGCAGAAACCCAGCCTCTCCTCACTGACCAGCTAGAATCTTTAGCAAGTGCCTGGCCCTCCTGTGTTTTCCTTCTTTTGAATTTTTTCCTTTCAGTTTTGGGCCTCCGAGGTGCTCCAGGTGAACCCACCAGGCCATGGATTCAGCACCAGGACTGGAGGAGATGGTGCTGCTTAGGGTCCCACAGTTCTGAGCATCCTCGGGACCTCCCTGAGGTGGTTGGGGGCCTCCAGGGCTGCACCTGTAGGTGCCAACAACCAAAGCCTGGACTCTCCAGGCCCTCATGCCCCTCTCTGTAAAGCAGGGGTAACGGTTGCTGCTCAGCCCCCCAGGGACAGGACCCAGGGCACAGGAGGTGGGAGTGAGGGAACAGGCGTGGGGGAAACTCCGAGGTGGTTATCAGCCTCGGGAGCAGACAGATGAGGCTAGTTGGCGGCAGCTTCTCCAGATGTCAATTGTTAAAATGCGATTCAGAGCCAATTAGGGCTGAGTGCAGATGTGCACACTGTGTGTGTATGTATCGGGGAAGGGGGCAGGGGGTGGCAGCCCGGATCTCAGGCAGAGGGGGAGGGCTCGGATGGGAGGGCTTCCCGGGATGTGGCCTTAGCATGTCCATCACCGTGGTGGGTCCTCACGGGGCCCCATACATTCTGCAAGATCTGGCTTCTTCCGTGTGCCACAGTGCCCACCAAAGCCGCCGCCTCTGGCGCCTGTGGGGACCTGGGCCCGGAAGCCCCTGTGTATGGCTAAGGCGATGGGGGCGGGTGTGTTGCAGAAAAGCCGCTACGAGACCTACGTGCAGGTGCTGCTGAGCCGTCTGCGCTGCCCAGACGATGACCTGGACCTGTGGGAGGAGCAGCTGGCCCAGGAAGCTTGCGGCCCCCGGGAGCCCAAGTCCAGCCTGAAGAAGTCTCACTCCAGCCCATCCCTGCACCAGGACGAGGCCCCCACCACGGCCAAGGTGAAGCGCAACATTTCGGAGCGCAGGACCTACCGCAAGATCATCCCCAAGCGGAACCGCAACCAGCTGTGAAGCGGGGCTGAGCCCCAGTCTGGCCGGGCTGGCCCGAGGGCCGAGTCCCCTAGGGGCCCTTCTCCATAGGACACTTCGCACTGCTGGGTGGGTCTCCATTGCTGTGCACCCACAGCTGCCCTGCCCACCCGGCCCTGACCTGTGTGAGCCAGACGGGACGTGAGGACACTCTCTCCCAGACTGCGTGTAGCCTGTCAGCTTCTCCAGAGCCTGGTGGGCCTCGGAGCCTGTGCCAGCTGCTGTGTGCAGGTCTGTGAGTCAGTTCAGTGGGCCGGGCCGGGCCTCGGACACCCAGCACCCAGCAGTGGAGGCCTCTGTGTGGGACAGTGGGGGGTGGGGAGGGAGAAGTTGGGGAGATAGGGAATAGGAGGAGACAGATGGGGCAAGACAGAGACCGGAGAGGGGAGACAGGGGAGCTGGGGAACAACTGGGGGGACAGAAGTAGACAGGGGAGAGCTGGAGAATGGGGGAGGTGGAGCTGCAGCTCTGTAATCAGGAGGGTGGCATTTGCTCTGTAATCAGGAGACCCCCTGCAAGACACTTTGAGAAAGCCCCCCATCGGCCTCTGGCACGGACATAGGACAAAGGTCTCTGCTCCTGCATCTAGTCAGGATTCCTGTCTCACCCCCAGGCCTCACTGAGCCTTTCGCCCTCCTGGGCCTTTCCCTGAGGCAGGCGGGGAGGGATAGATAGCTCCAGCCTCCCCCACTCAGGGTGAGGCATGGGTGAGAAGGCTGGAAGGGACAGAACAAGGGCCTCTGTGGCCCCTGGCAGGGCACAGAGCATGAGGTTCAGTCTGAAGATGGGAGCGGTTGGCTCAGGCCCTGGGTGTTGAGTGTCAGAGGGTCCGCACGGGCTCTCAGCCTGCCCCATCTCTGAGCCCCGGTTCTGAGGAGCACCAGTACCCAGCCTCTCCTTCCTCCCCAGCGGCCAGCTCACGGGACCCTGGCCAGTCCTATGGGCTGCCCTTTGGCTGCCTCTCAGCTGGCCCTGCTCTGTGGTGGGGCCGGGGGTGTTCCGGAGCCTCCAGGACCCAAAGCCCTCCCTGTGGGAAAAAGGCTGGGCTGGAGAAGCAGCCACCATTGTCTCTGTTCAGCCAAGTGTGCGAGCAGGCGGCCCGCCAAGAGGGGCCTCTCGCTGCCCGCTGCCTGCTACCCGCTGGCTGACGGATGGCCTCTGTGGCCTTCCTGCTGGGCTGCCTCCTCCCTGCCGGGCCCATGAGCAGCCCCGGGGCCTGGCACGCCACCAGGTGGTGCTGGCTCTGGAAGGGAGCCCGGAGGAGGGTCAGGGCTGGGCCATGCACAATAAAGATGGGCTGAGAACCAGGAGGCCGCTCAGGTGTGTGGGGCGGGTGGCAGGTGGGCCTGAGGAGCGGGGCCTTTTGTGACTGCAGGCTGTCCCCTTGTCCCCTGAGTCGCTCTGGTGCGTGTGTGTGTGCATGCATCTGCATGCATGCATCTGCGAATGTGTATGCATGTGTGCACGTGTCAGTGTGTGCATGCATGTGCAAGCCTTTGTACGCATCATGGGTGTCCACGGGTGTTTGTGCGTGCAGATGAATATGCCTGTCCATGTCTGCATATCGTGGGACACTCTTCACGACTGCCCCACGTGCAAGATCTGTGAAAGCTAGGCTCCTGCTGGTTCATGTCCACTGGTTCATGCCCCAGATGAGGTCCACTTTGCGTGGGGCAGGGTTTGGGAACTCGGTCATAAATGAAACCAGCCCCTGGGGCTGGAGCGATAGCACAGCGGGTAGAACATTTTCCTTGCATGCGGCTGACCGGGGTTCAATTCCCAACATCTCATAAGGTTCCCCAATTCCCAGCATCTCACAAGGTCCCCTGAGCACCGCCAGGAGTCATTCCTGAGTGCAGAACCAGTAGTAACCCAAAAAGAAAAAAAAAAAACAGCCCTTTGAGCATCAGGAGGTGATGCCAGGCCCCGCGCTCCCCAGCCATGAGTGCAGAGGCTGCTGCATCTTGTGGAGAATCAGCAGAAGACTTGAGCTCCCCTTGAGCCCAGGATCTGACTCAGCCGCACCAGACCAGGAGCAGATGCAGGATGCTCCTTTCGTTACTAGTGTGCATGGCCATAGCAACGTCCACCTGTCTCTAGTATCAGGCGCTCTGGAACTGAGGTGTCTACATGGAGGGCCCATGAGTGCATCCTTTGACATCACCGACCCTGGCTCCTTATTTCAGAAACCAGAATTAAGGTAGAGGTGTGTCTGCATGGCTGCCCCATAAGGGCTCACCTGAGACCTTAAGGGCTGACTGATTTGGGCTTGCATCTGCAGTTGCGGAACTGCCGCTGGGGCATATGGCCACTAGGGGGCGGACTTGCATCTTGCTGACTTTCACCAACCTGGTAAGGGTTATTAGCATTGGTGCCAGGCAGCCAGAACCTGAGCCTTGCACACTCCTGAACCCACGGTGGCCCAGACCAGACCTCCTGCTAGCTGGAAACGTTTCTACCAGGCAAGTGGTAAGACTTTGACATCATCCTGCAGGTGGAGTGTGGGGTCAGCCTACAGTGGGGCTTGTACAGAATTATATCGGCACACAGAAAGCTTCAATGAGAAGTGAAAACTGACCCCTACGACCCGCTCCCTCCAAGCCCAGAGCTGATGATGGGCTAGATGAAACTCCACGAGCCTGCTTCTGACCTTGCCTCCACCCTGAGCTCCTCCTCAGCGTGGGGTCAGAGCCAGGGAGTTTCTTCCTAGGGCATGGAGGGGAGTCGGCCTTCGGGCCTCCATGCACAGCAGGCTGATTGCATAGCATCTCCTCTGCTGTGACTGTTGTCTATGGCCCGGTGCCAAGGAAACACAAAAGATCACACAGGCTGGGTCCTTTGTGGGCTCTGAGTCTGGGGGAGGCAGCAAGTGGGATGCGCTGGGGACTGGAGGGTTGGGGGCAAGACACGGCAGGAAGGGAGGGCCAAGGCTGCACCCCGTGTGGTGTGGATTGTGGTTTCCAAGCCCACCCTTGGGAGACTGCCTGGAAATCTCAAGAGAGGGAAGTGGAATGACTTAAGGCCCGCTGCTGGGATCCGAGTATGGAGATACTCTGAACTGTTGCTTCACCTTTGCTGGCTCCAGCAGTAAGCAAATAGACACTGTTCCAGAACCTTCAGATAGTCCTGGGGTTCCTTACCTACTCCTTCCTCCTGCTACCCCCCACCCTCCGGGATGCTCATCTTTGGGATTTACTGAAGATTGCATTCCTGAACGCCTCTGCCGACACCTTTGCCTCCTGCTTTGCTGGGTGGTGTCCCCACTCACCAGCCAAATGCTTTCCACCCAACTACCTTCTTCCCTTGTCTGGAGAGCAGGCCAAGGGGCTCCTGTGCTTTTATTTTTATTTTTATTTATTTATTCATTTTTTGCCTTTTGGCTCACACCCAGCGATGCACAGGAGTTACTCCTGGCTCTGCACTCAGGAATTACTCCTGGCGGTGCTTGGGGACCATATGGGATGTTGGGGAATTGAACTCTGGTCGGCTGTGTGCAAGGTGAACGCCCTCCCCACTGTACTATTGCTCCGGCCCATCCTGTGCTCCTTTTGGAGCTGCCCCCCCCCAGCTGGCACACCCCCTTTATCCCCCCCAGAGACCTTTCCTCTCCCTCAGGAACCCCATCTTTGAGCCTTCTCCCCTCTCCTCCCTTCATAATCTTACCTTGCAAACAACTTCAAGTCATCAGTGTCAGAAGCAAAAACCAGGGGGAAATCCAGCCTTTCCTCCCTTTTCTCCACTTCCCCAGCCAAGAGTGCTGGCATGGTGGACTTTTGCAGCTGTCTAACTTTTCCCTCTGTTCCTATCCACACCTTCCACCCCTCAGGGTGAGCTAAACCCAGGCTTTATGCTGGAGTCTTCAATGATCACATGACCCCAAACCTGCAGCAGCTCAGAACCATCAGCTCCAGTAGCCAGACTCAGGGCCTGAGCTCCATGGTACCCACCCAGCTGCCTGGCCACGGTCTACTTGGTTCCTTCTCTATAAATGGGATAATAATGCATTTTACCTCATAGGAGTTTCGTGAGGATTAAGAAAAATTATGCAAGTAAATATCCCAGAACAATGCTCGGCACAGAGGAAACCCTGGCAGGTTAGTTATTATGATCCGACCCTTCTGGCCTTACCTCATGCAAACACCACTACCAACACACACACACACACACACACACACACACACACACACACACTGCTGGGCTAGGTGTAAGTACTACTTTGAGACTGGGCCTCTGCCTTTTGGGTGTACGCCGATTGGGAACTACAGTAACTAAGCTCTAAAGGACTTCAGCAGAAAAAGACACTGGTTGTCTCCAATAACTGGATGATCTGTCCCAATCAGGTGAGATTCCACACTGAGCCACTTATACCACTGACTCAATCCAGGACTCCACCACTGAGCCACACTGCCACCCCAGGTGTCTCTTGCTCTTCCAGGCCTGATCTCTTGGGCCTAGGAGCAGGATTACCGCTCCTGCTAGACACCTAGATGGCCCTAGAACCTTCCAACACTCCGTTTCCCAGACACACATCTAGTGTCCAACAGATCTCTTTCTTTAGAGTGTCACGTTTAAGTCCAGGGAAATAATCTCTGAACAACTCAACTTGGTCCATGAAACCCATCTCGGAGCCAGTCACCAAGGTCAGGAGTAGGGATGTTGGAGTCTTTCTTCTCCTCTCCTCCCCTCCCCTCTCCTCTTACCTCCCTTCTCCCTCTCCCTCTCCCTCTTCCTCTCCCTCTCCTCTCTCCTCTTTCTCTCTCCATCTCTCCCTCTCCCTCTTCCCCTCTCTCTCTCCTTTCTCCTCTCTCTTTCTCTCTCTTTTTACTGTCTCTGCTGATTCCACAGCATCTCATCTGCTGTGACTGTCCTCTATGGCCTGATGCCAGGGAAAAACAAAAGACCCAGAGGCTGGGTCCTTTGTGGGCTCTGAGTCTGGGGAAGACAGCAAGTGGGATGTCCTGAAGCTGGAGGGTTGGGGACAAAACACGGCAGTGAGTGAGGAAAGCTTAGGCCTTAAGTTTCTCAAAGGTGGGGAAAATGCTAGTGGCAGTTAGTTTCCATTTCATGGCAGGCCCTAGTCAAAATCCCAAAACCTAGGGATGAAATACAAAAACCTCAAATCTCAAAACTATCTTCCCTTGGGGCTGGAGCGATAGCACAGCATTTGCCTTGCATGAGGCTGACCCAGGTTCAATTCCCAGCATCCCATATGGTCCCTCGAGCACCGCCAGGAGAAATTCCTGAGTGCAGAATCCGGAGTAACACCTGTGCATTGTCAAGTGTGACCCAAAAAGCAAAGAAAAAAAAAAACTATCTTCCCTG